TATTCTAGTTTACAGCCGGGATAAGCAGCAGCACTTAGTGGATCTTGAAGCAGTTTTTAAAGTTTTGGAGGAATATCGGCTACTCACCAAGGGCTCTAAGTGCGAGTTTTTTCGGGACAGGCTAGAGTTTTTGGGTCACGTCATTTCGGAGGCTGGGGTTGAGATTGACCCAAAGAAGGTGGATACGGTAAAGGCGTGGCGCCCCCCGACGAACATCATGGAACTGCAGAGTTATTTAGGTTTTGTTAATTACGTTCGACGGTTCGTGCCCGACATGGCACGTTTAACAGCCCCACTCACTGATTTACTGCGTAAGGGGGTCGCTTTTACGTGGGGAGAGAAAGAGCATGCTGCCTTCTCTGCCCTAAAAAACGTTCTCTGTTCACCACCCGTTCTACGCATCGCTGACCCCCACCGCCCTTTCGAAGTGGTTACCGACGCAAGTGACATCGCCATCGGAGCTGTACTGTTATAGGACTTCGGCGACGGCCTCCAACCCATCGCCTACGAATCACGCAAACTACATCCGCCTGAGCGAAATTACCCGATACACGACCGCGAAATGCTTGCAATCGTGCACGCATTCAAAGTGTGGCGCTGCTACTTGACCGGCGCAGACGTGACAGTACGGACAGACCATCGATCTCTACAGTACCTCCGCGCACAGCCCCACCTCAACCCACGACAGATTCGATGACTCGATTTCCTCGAGTCGAATTTTCACTATACGGTCACATACAAAAAAGGAGCCTCGAATATCGCCGACCCACTGACCCGCCCCACTGCCCAGATCCACGCGATACTACTCGCCCAGACCAGCCCGCTACTGACAGGCCTATTTACCCACGGATATCAAACAGACCCGTTCTTTACAGGAGGCAACTCACAGCAATTCGCAGCGGCAAAAGGAGTCTATTACGTAAAAGCTGGGACCGACCGCATCTGGGTACCAGGATATACGCTACTACGGGAACTACTGTTACAGGAAGCACACGACGGAGTTACCTCGGGACATTTCGGGGTAGAAAAAACACGGCAGCAGCTGGAGCGGTATTAGTACTGGCCAGAAATGTTGACTGATGTGCAACGACACGTGGCATCGTGTCCCACTTGCCAGCTCATGAAGTCAAGCAGGAAGCGGCCGGCGGGACAATTGCAACCCATCCCGCCCCCAAAGCGTGCTTGGCAGCAGGTGACGATGGATTTCGTCACGGGGTTACCAGCTAGGGCGAGTGGGAATGACGCGATCCTGGTCGTCGTCGATCGACTAACGAAGATGGCTCATTTCGCAGCATGCAGGAAATCAATCACAGCCGAGGAAACCGCACGACTCTTCATCACCACCGTCGTTCGACTGCACGGGATACCCGCATCGATCATCAGCGACAGAGACACGAAATTTACAAGCAACTTCTGGCGGAACCTGTGGCAGCAGTTCGGCACGCGCTTACAGTTCAGTTCGTCCTATCACCCCGAAACCGACGGACAGACGGAACGGACAAATCAGACCATGGAGCAGCTGATTCGAGCCACGTGCGACGATCCGAATACGTGGGAACAGCAGCTGCCACTCATCGAGTTCGCATACAATTTCGCACCATCAGCCACGACGCAACAGTCGCCGTTTTACTTGAATTACGGACAGGACCCAACAGTACCCATGACATCGAATCCCGACAACCCCGTCCCACGAGCACAACAGTTCGCCGAGATTCTGCAAGCAGCACGGACCAGGGCAGCAGAAGCAATAAAAAAATCAAACATCATCGCTAAACGCAACGCCGATCGCCATCGCAGACCCGTTACTTATCAGCCCGACGACCTCGTTTTACTCGACACTCAGAACCTCCGCCTACCCATCACTCCAAAACTCCGCCCTCGATACTGTGGGCCATTTCGAATCAGTCACATGGTCACGCCAGTCACCGCGCACCTCCTCCTCCGTGCTGACTGGTACGTCAGCCCCTCGTTCCACGTCAGCTTACTTCGCCCTTACGTGCCATCCACCAGCCAACTCCCACGACATCGACCCACCAGCATGACACGACCACCAACCGAACCAGTCATCACCCCCGACAAGATCCTGAGCCACAGAGTTCGCGACCCTCGAGGAGCCCGAAGGGTGGAGTTTCTGATCCGCTGGAAAGATCGTACCCCCACCGAGGACGATTGGGTTCCCCTGGAGAAAGTTGAAAATCACCCCGTCGTCACCGACTACCTGCGTAGCCGCAATTTCCGAGACATCCACGCACTTTCATAAGGAGGATCTCCTTAGGAGGGGGGGTAGTGTAAGGAAATTCCCTTTTCCTTACTTCGCGTCCCTGCTCAACGCGTACATCACTGTAGCACCTCAGTCAGCACCGTTACCACTCGCGACCATCGCATCATTCATCATCCCGCCCTTTTCGCACATCGCATCCCGACCTCACGGCTCGGCTGGTAACCCGCGCTCCGGGCCTACGCTTCGACACTTTCCCAACCTCAGTCCCAGGCTCGTCGCGCGACCATTACCGTTACCACTATAGTTTCGCTATATAATGTTCGCTCATGCCTTCGCTCATTTGTATTCTTCCTTCGATAGTGCAATTCTCGTTCGTTCACTCAATTGCACCCGTAACAACCATGCATCCTACACCGTCATTGAGTCTAGAACCTTCGTTTCAAGTCAGCTTGTTTCGAGTTTACACGGCTGTTCGGTCGAATCCGTAGTGGCTGCTCCTGCTTCCAGCACACCAATCCCGTTCTTCTCAAGAATACCGAAACGACAAACGAATCCCACGCCAAACAAAAAAACCGTATCGGGGCAGTCTTTCTTGGCTAGAAACGCATGCTGGCGTGTCGTGGGTGATATTTGTCTGCTCCACTCCTTCACCACGTGACCATGAAGACTTCAACATTCTTCACCAGTCTGGGTTCTTGAGAAAAGCAGCATGTGGCGTAAGCGCAGCATTTTTTCTGTACACATGATGCCCGCTAATTACCCACAACTTGTTTCGTCATTTGGATGTTTAGTGAGGAGCAGTTTTTTCGCCTGCTCGCCAACGTTCGCCATGGGCAAAAATTGATTCTGTAGTGGGCAGGTGAAGAAATGTAACCAGCGCCTTCAAAATATCTCACGAACGGACAGATGCCAGCGTGATAAGCTGTATGTTCAACGGCTGCGATCAAAATATGGGCTTGTATCGTGCGTGCAACTGGCTGGTAAAAAATGCAATTGGGCAGGCTGTTGAATACGTCCAGACCAAATGTGCGTGCAACAGCTGAGCATCGTGTGTACTTTAGAAAGATATGTGAAGGCCTCAATTTGGTCCCCGCAAATATTGCTTCAATTGTTCCAGAAAGCTTTTACCAACCTAAGGACGAAGGCTGGCTGGTGCATGCATGCCCAAGTCAGCAGCGGGATCCCCCACTTGAGCCGAGTGGAGACAGAATCACCTTTGTACTTTTCGCTCTGCTGTCAATTCCAGCCAATCCCGCTTTTCAAATTGAACAGCTGGGGCAGGCATGGCAGCAAAATCTGAATTTGCAGTTTCGTCACACAATTTGCCTTCCCTCGGTCCTAAATTCTCGTGCCGCATCTACAATAGTACAGGCAGCGCTGCACTGCTCTGACATGCAGCAGCACTCAACTCGTCATTGCTGTGTGGTGTCTGCTCCTCCGACCTCCTCGCTGCTCCACCTTGCTTCTGGTTTCTTGGCTAAAATCTGCAGCGCTCGAACAGGCAGCCTCCGTTCACTCCACACCACACCGTACCACCATTGCGCTTCTCATCGGCAAGCACCAAAACGCACCTCACCACGTCCAACCGTTCCTCACACACGACACGCAAACTGCGCATAATTCGTCCCTCTCTCCATGGCGGCCCATCAAACCACTGATCCTTTCTCACTTACTCGATAGTATCTCAAAGCTAAAATAAACCCCTTTCTCTCACATAGTGGCCCTCGCAATGGCTTCGCCCATGTTATTACCGATAGACTGGGCGCCTCGTACTTACGAGACCGCGTCCTCAAACCTCGCCGGCTGTCCCGCCGAAACCCCGGACGACGAGCTACTAGATATCGACTTCCTCCGCTCCTTTTTCTCCGCGGGCTCCCCCAGCCCCGCCGCCGCCGCCGTCGCAACTGTCGCCGCGGCCGCCGCCGCCGCTCGCGGCGCAGGAGCCGCTGTCGCGCTCTCCGCAGGTGCCGCCGCCGCCGCAGACGCGGCTGCGCTCGCGTCCGCCTCTGCTGCAGCGTCTGCTGCTGCCGCTGCGTCGCAGAATTCATTTCTGGGCGTGGGTATTTCTTCGAGTATTAGTTACGGCCGTGGGACGGCGTCTTTATCAGCCAGTCACGGGGAAGATCGGTGGACTCCTCTATCTCCTTTCTCCTCTCCCTTTCCCCCTTTTTCACCCGTTTCTCCTTTTGCGCCGCGAGACTTGAGTTTTTCCGCAGTCGGCGATGCCCCTCCTCTCCCATCCCCTTTTCCTCCTACTTACACCCCGCGAAGTCCCCACCTCCGCCCCACCTCCGCCGTCCCCCCGCTCACCCCGCCGCCCGCAGCTTCCTCCCGCCACACCCCTTTTTCGGACGGTCCGTCCCCGCAAAGCCCGCGCTCTTTCTCCGCGTTGCCCGTGCTGGCGCGCACCACGAGCATCGGCAGCGCAATGGCCGCCAACGTCAGCAATTACTTCTTCCGCGCATCCACCCCCGCCGCTACTCTGATTTCCGCCGCCGCCGATACCGGCGCCGCCGCTCTTCCTGCCGCATCCCCGCCTTCTGTGGGTCGACGTGCCGCCGCGGCAACGGCTCCTTCTCCCCTGATGAAAACGGCGGCTCCCCCCCAGGACGGCGCAGCGGCGACGTATGGTCGAAAAGCGCGCAGCAACAATGCGGCGGCGGCAGCAGCGGCGGCGGCTGACGTCCCCGCTGGGAGGAGCTCGGTCCCCGGACCGCGGCCGTTACAAGAAACATCCTCGCAAGTCCGAGGCCTGAGCCCGAGGCTTGGTGTGGGAGTTATGATGGGAGCTCGAGGCGATTTGGGTATTGAGGTTGAGACAGAGGAGGTTCTGGAAGGGAAAGGGGAGGAGGCGGAAGAGGAGGCGGAAGAGGAGGCGGAAGAGGAGGAGAGCTGGGCGGCCTCCGCCACTCTTCAGGCGGAGCTGCGCGCGGTAGTGGGCGCGGACGGCCCTTGCGCCATTGCGCGCCAAGATTGGTCACGCACCCCCGTGTCCCCTGCGCCAACGCCGCGGGGCGGAGCTTCCGCGTGCGCGCAGCAGACGCCGCGCTCCGCGCAGGAGGCGCGCATGCAGCTGCTGCAGGCGCAGCTGGAGCTGCTGGAAACGAGCAAGGCGGTCTCCGCGCTGAAATGCGCGCGGCACGTCGTTCAGATGCCCGGACACTCCGCGCGCTACAGCAGCTGCGCCGGGACTGCCGGAGGCGGAGACGGCGAGAACAGCGGCAGTGGCAGTGCGACTGGCAGTGGCAGTGGCGGGAGCAGTAGCGCTAGCAGTCCGAGATTCGGCGGAGCGAACGGGAGCGCGCAAGCGGATAGCCCCCGGTCGGAGGGGAGCTTCAGCTTCGGGGAGATGATTAGTCCGCGCGCGCACGACGCGCAGCACGCGGGGGAGCTGGAGTTGGAACTGCAGCAGCAGCAGCAGCAACACCGCCACCGCCAACAGCAAGAACAGGGGGAGGAGAGGGAGGAGAAAGAAGAAGAGGTTTTCTACCTCCACTCGGCGTCGTTGCCGTCGTCACCGTGCCAGCAGCAGGCCTGGCACCTTCCAGAACGCCTGGGAGGCTCGTTGCAAGAACGGGCAACAACAGGTGGCATCGGTAACAACAGCAGCAGGTGTGGGAGTAAGAGTGTCAACAGCAGGAGGAGCGGTGGTGGCAGTGGTACCGGTTCCAGGCAAGTGAGCTTGCAAGGTGCTGCCACGGGTGCTTCTGCAGCAATGGCAATGGGGGCAGCGGTGCTGGCGTCAGCGGTGCCACGTGTCATCACCTCACCACATGCGGGCACGTCACCCCGGATGGAATTTCCTTCGCCCACTGGGTTTTCCTTCAACCTGAGCCCAAACTCTTGTGCTACCTCTCTTCCCTTCCGGCAATCTGCTACCGCTGTTAGCCGCACTGCCAACACACGCAGCAGCTGCATCACAGCCAGCACCAGAACCAGCACCAGCACAGCCAGCACTGCCAGTACCACCAGCGCCATTGCTGCAACCTTCTGCTCATCCTCCTCCTCCTCATCCTCTCCCTCTGCTTCCTCCGCCACCTCCTCTCTGCCTCCTCCTCCTCCCATGCTGCACCTCCCTGCTGTTAAACGGGTGGAAAGGCAAGGGGACTACGAGCGAGATGGTGGGGAGGAGGAAGGCGAAATGGAGGGCGAGGGGGAAGAAGTGTCCTCGTGGGAATTGCACGGCCGAGCACCCTTGCTCTCAATACCTTTGTGCAAGTCTGAAGGATGGGGTTACGCAGCGCGATGGTGGGATGTGGATGGGGATGGGGATGGGGACGCTGTTGGGGATTGGGGTGGTGGTGAGGGGATGGACGGGAGGGCCAGGGTGGAGGGAGCCTGGGCGAATCAGGACGGAGGGAAGGCAAGGAGTGGTGGCCTGGGCCGTCCCGGGAGGCTTGCTCGCTTGCTTCACGCCACGGCCACCACCAGCAGCAGCAGCGGAGGCGGCGGCAGCAGTGCGGGTGCCAGGTTGCGGGAGTCGTTGCGCAGAAGTGCGTCGTCGTTCCTTGGTTTCAAGGTTCAGTAGGTGGCTTCTTCCTTCGCAATTCGCGTGTCCCCCCCCCCCCCCCCCCCCCTCCTTGATGCATTCCAGTCACTCCGGCTTACCGGTACCTTTCGAAAAGTTATCATTTGTTTCTTGACGCACACTCCGTCCTTGAGATTTTGAACCGAGAACTCAGGGTTTTGATTCTATGGTACAGTAAAGTGGCTCAGCAGAATGCGGGATTGACTGATCAGGTATCATTCTGAAGAAAGTGTCTGATTTTCCTGCTGTACACTGAAGTTGCTAACCAAATGGCCATGAATAGACTTATCAGGTGTGTTGGGCAACAGCTATGCTATGCACTCTATAGTATAGTTGTTCAATTCTGTGAGCAGAGTGGTGGTGGTGGTTGTTGGGCTGGGAAGCCCTAGGATCTTTGTAGAGTTTAAGGACTGAGTAGGATTGTAATAGCGGAAGCGTTGAATAAAAGAGTGTTTGAACCATCTTGCACTAGTATGTGAGAGCAAAGTAAGTTGGATTAAACAAGCAAATACAAGGTTTATATAAGAGTACAAGGAATACGAATAGATAGATTTAAACCGTTTTACTGTTGCGATTCGATACAGTGCGACTCGGGCAACTGCTCAATGTCGAGTCAGTTGTGTGTCCTTGCTGTCGCGCTGTATTGGTCAAGTCAAAGGTCGCTGACCTTTGACCTTCGCGTAACCTCCAGGCGGTTACCCTAACCTCCGAGGGTTGACTCGCGATGCTTCGATTTAGGCTGCTTCGCTAGTGTCCTGAGTTTCGACACGACAGAGGCGCCTTAAGACTTATTGTTCCCAACACTCCCCTTCGCTTCTGGAGTGTCGCTGATGGTGACGTGGCCTTGTCCAGTCAGCAGCATGCAGTACTCGAACTTCTGTTTTCCGAGCTTCTTGGTCAAATAGTCGGCTGCCATCTCGGACGTGGGACAGTAAGATAACTCGAGTCTTCCTTTCTCGATCTCGTCTTTCACGAAGAAGTATCGCAGAGCGATATGCTTCGTTCTGTTCGCGAATCCGTTTTTGTTGGCGATGCGAATTGCAGATTGGTTGTCGCAGTGCAGGGTAAAGCTGGGTAACTCAGCTAACTTTGCTTCTTCCAGCAGTTCGCGAAGGTAGAGTCCTTCCTTGGTGGCTGAGCAGAGGGCGATATATTCTGCTTCAGCTGAAGAGAGAGCGATTAGTTCCTGCTTACTCGACTGCCAGGAGATAGGTCCGATAGGCTCGAGACGATAGACGTAGCCGGTACGAGAACGCCTGTTATCAGAATCGCCGGCATGGTCAGCATCGATGTAGCCGATTAGTTTCGTCGTCGTAGCTTCGCCCTTGTAGTAAGTTAGGCCGATCGTCGGTGTGCTCACGAAGTAGTGCAGTGCGCGATCGAGCTCCGCCATGTGCTCAGCTTCGGGTTTCTTGAGATAGGTGGCGAGTTGACTCGCGGAGTAGGATAGGTCCGGGCGACAGGTGACGGCTGCGAAGAGCAGACAGCCCAGTTTTCGCTGGTAGTCGCGTATGCCGGCGGTTTTTAGTAGGGTGGAGTTTCCTTGGCCGTTTCTTGCCGTGTAGCGGTATGGCGTGGCGATAGCGGTAGGGGTGAGCGAGAAGCGCTTGGCGATCGTATCGGCGTATTTCTCGGCGCTTAGATAGATTGCGTTTTCTTCTTCGCGGATGTTGAGTCCAAGGTACTGCGTGACGGTAGAAGAAACTGTGAGCGTGAGATCTTTCTGCAGCTCCCCTTCGAACCAGGTGGTGACGTCGTCAGTGGAGCCGATGTAGAGGAGATCTTCGACGTAGACGATGAGTAGGATGTAGTTGGCGCCTTTAGTGAGTCGGTACATGCCCTGGTCATGGGGTAGTTGGCGGAATCCGATGCGGATGAGGCGGGTGTGCAGGTGCTGTTGCCACAGCCGTGGGGCCTGCTTGATTCCGTAGAGGGACTTTAGTAGTTGGCAGACTTGATTGGGTTCCCCGTGGGTACCGTGAGGGAGCTCGACGAAGATGTCGGCGTCGACAGGTGCGTAGAGGAAGGCATTGGCGACATCAGTCTGTCGCAGCTTTTTCTTCTTCATGGCGGCGACGGCGAGAAGAATGCGGAGAGAGGTATGTCGACTAACTGGGGCGAAGGTCTCGGTGAAGACTCGTCCTTGTTCCTGGTCGAATCCACGCACGACCCAGCGTGCTTTGAACTTCTCGATTGTGCCGTCGGCTTTCGTCTTGATGCGGAAGACCCATTTCCCGGTGAGAATGGTCTTGTTCCGTGCCACGCTTGCGGGAACGACCTTCCAGGTGTTGCGTTCCTCCAATGCCTTTAATTCCCTGTCCATGGCTTCACGCCATTTTTCCCTGTGTTCCCCCCCCAGAGCCTGCTGAACTGTCGTAGGCTCTTTAGGAAGAGTGTTGCCGGCGGTCCCGTGGACTGCGGTGACAAGGCCAAGGATTTGTAGCCCAGTCTGTGAGTATCGAGGGAGTTCTGGGTCCTCGGGATAAGCTGCTTCGTCTCCCGCTTCTGGGTCGGGGATGAAATTTGGCCCTATCCTTTCTGCTTCGTTGGTGTTGACTGTCGCAGGTGTTACGTAACCGTTGTCGGCGAAGTGGTAGAAGACTTCGGCGTTGTTACTGTCGCGAGGATTATCTTCATCCATGGGCACATCGACGGAGCAGTACGGGAGAGGTCTGGCTTCCTCCGATGGGTTGTCGACGTTCTGTTCATCCCAGTCTGCTTCGTCCGCTGCTGAGGCGAAGGCTCGGTCACCACGAAAGCCACCTGTGGGGTCCCGATTCTCGTGCAAGTTGGCAAGGTACGTCTGAAGGGTGAGTCGTTCGTAGAAGATCACATCACGTGCTGCTACTGTTTCTTTTGTGTGGACGTCGAAGATTCTCCACGCGTTGTAATTTTTCTCGATGCCGAGGTGTAGTCCCCACTGTGCCCGTTGCGAAAATCTTCCCGCTCGTGCTTCTGGGGGTCGGTACTGTACCATGCACCCAAATACTCGTAACATTTTTGTGCTGCCCTACTTTCCTGTCCAGAGCAGATGCGGTGATGCGTTGTTCGGGAGTGACGACGACGAAAGCAAGTTGTGCAGCATGACAGCATGGTCCATTGCTGCTGGCCACTGGTGGTTGGGTAGCCGCATGCCACGTAGTAGTTTGCGCATGCTGTTCTGCAGGATCCTGTTCATTCTTTCTGCAACACCCTGCTGCTGATGTGCGTAGGGAAGGGAGAGGAGTTGCTTGATCCCCCTTTCCGCCAGGTACTGCTTGAAGCGCTGAGAGGTGTATTCACCACCTCCGTCTGACTGGAAGCTTTTCAGCTGCGTTCCCGATTCCCTTTCTGCTACCGGTAGCCAAGCGGCGAATGCTGCGAGTGCCATGTCGCGGCTGGGTAGGTTGCGATGCCAGACGTATCGAGTGGCGGCGTCGATGAAGGTAATCGTGTAATTATAGGTTACTTGGCCTGGTTCTCGATTGTAGAGGATGTCGCTGTAGACTTTTTCGAGTGGTGCGTATGCAGGTGCGCTCGGGTTGTGGTGAGAAGAAAAAGGTCGATGTGGTAAGTCGGCCTCGGGGCAGATGAGGCAAGTCCCCCGTGCACGTTGAAGTTCTCTGCCGTCGAGTAGTAGTAGTGAGTCTTTGTCTAGTGCTCCTGCTCGTATCGTATTATTTAACACCGTGTTACTTGGATGTCCTGTGCGTGCGTGCCAGATGTCTTCGGAGGCGCGGTGTCCGGGTGAACGTTGATATGCGTCGGAGTTGGAGTAGAAGCTGGCGACGAAGTTGGCGCTGCGGTGGACTTCTCGTTGAGTCGGGTTCAGCTGTTGTGTGGGTGTTGGTGGTGTTTCGTCGACGATGACTGGTGTCGTTGTTCCTGCTGCTGCCGATGTTGTTGCTGCTGCCGATGTTGTTGCTGCTGTCGATGTTGTCTCTGCTGCTGCCGATGTTGTCTCTGCTGCTGCCGATGTTGTCTCTGCTGCTGCCGATGTTGTCTCTGCTGCTGCCGATGTTGTCTCTGCTGCTGCCGATGTTGTCTCTGCTGCTGTCGATTGTTGAATTGTTGCTAATGCTCGTGTTTGCTCTGCTTCAGGGTTGGTGTGTGAGTACCAGAAGCCTCCTGGACTGAAATCAGGATCGAGGTCCGGAGGGTGTGTCCAGTCGGTAAAATTGACGATGGCGTCGCTGTCTGCAGTGCCCAGGTCGGGGACGAAGTCAAGAACGAAGACGTTATTCTTCAACACTGCTTTCCCGATGTAGAGGCCGCCCCTCCCGTGGTATAACTCAAATTCTTGGGTGGTGCTGTCGGCTTCCAAGTGAATCCCCTTTGCCATCAGCTGGCTAACACTCAGTAAGTTGTAACCGAGTCCTTCTGCGATGAGTACTTTTGACATGTGTAGTATAACGTTGGTCTCTCTTGATTGAAGTTGAACGACTCCTTGTCGCCTTGTGCGCAGGTTCTGGTTGTTGGCGACCGTGATGACTACTTCTCGCTGGAGTCGATGTTCGCGTTGTACGAAGCGCCCGGAGGAGCACATGTGTTGTCCGCAGCAACTATCCAAGAACCAAGTGTCTTGGCCGGACGGTTCGCTTTGAGCGATGGCGGCGTACGTCGGATTCGGCTGGAGTGATTCGCGGCGAGGCGTCCTGTTGTCGAGCTCCTCTTCTGGTGAGTAGTAGGGTGGCGACTTTGTAATGCAGGAATCGTTTATCTTTACCATGCAGTTGACGATGCTTCTTGCTCCTTGTGCAGGTTGTCCAGTTGAAGTCGTTGAAGCTTGGATCGTGGTTGTCGGACTTGCTTGCGTTGAAGCAACTTGGGAGCTTGAAGGCCGCAGCTGTCGCTGTGGTGTCGTCTGACGAGACGGGCAATGCGTGCGAGGATGGCCCGAGGTTTTGCAGATGTGGCAGAACAGAGGTACCGTTTTCACTTGCTGTTGTTGATTGTTGTTGCCGTTGTGTCGTCGCTGAGTGTGAAAAGCAAATTCTGGTGCTAAAGCTTTCTTCTTGTGTCTTTCTTCTTGCAGGTCCATGTCCTGCTGCTCAGCATGAATTTCGGCGCAGAGTGCCGCTTTGGAGATCCTCCCGTGTGCTCGTAATATGGCGCGAGTGGAGCGCCAGTGGGGGCCGAGACCGCCGATGACCACCGTGACAAAGGCGTCTTCTGAAATTGACCCGCCGCATCGAAGAAGCTTGTCGCGCAGTTCGCGGCAGCGGCTGATATAAGCCATGCCTTTCTCGCCTGGTTTCATTTCAATCGTTGTCAACTGCGCCATTAACCTGCTTTGGTTTACGCTGTCTGTTGCTTGATACAGGTTCTTCAGGTGGTTGTACGCGAGCTCCGCG